CTAATCCGGAAAATATATTTTCATTTTTCATTTTTAAGTATTGAAACCAAAGTACTAAGAACTGATATTTTTTTTTTTCTTTTTTTTAACATGTCAACCATTTCACACTGAGGCAGGGTGATCCAAAAATAAAGAAAAAAACTTTCATCATCATCACTCAACACTTTCACCATTATTCACAAACAATTACTCTTTGCAGAGGCACTCAGATGTGACAGTTTAGATATCACTCCAAACAGCCAATATCCCAAACTCCTCCTTTAAGATGCAGGCAGTGTACTTCCCACCTGCAGGACTCAAGTCCAGCTAACCGGTTCCCTTGAATCCCCTCACAAAATACTGCCCTGCTCACACTCCAACAGCTTGTCAGGTCCCATAAACCATTCATCTCCATTCACTCCTATCTAACATGCTCACACACACTTAATTGAAGTCCAAGCCCCTTGCCCACAAAACCTCCTTTACCCTCTCCCTCCAACCTTTCTTTGGATGACCCCTACCCCACCTTCCTTCCACTACAGATTTATATACTCTCCAAGTCATTCTAGTACTTTGTTCCATCCTCTCCAAATGACCAAACCACCTCAACAACCCCTCTTCAGCCCTCTGACTGATACTTTTAGTAACTCCATACCTCCTCCTAATTTCCACACTACGAATTCTCTGCATAATACTTACACCACACATTGCCCTTAGACATCTCCACTGCTTCCAGCCTCCTCCTTGCTGTAGCATTTATAACCCATGCTTCACTCCTATATAAGAGTGTTGGTACCACTATACTCTTGTACATTCCCTTCTTTGCCTCCATGGATAATGTTTTTATTGGCTCCACAGATACCTCACAACACCATTCACTTTTTTTCCTTCATCAGTTCTATGGTTAACCTCATCCTTCATAAACCCATCTTCTGACAAGTCAACTCCCAAATATCTGAACACATTCACTTCTTCCATACTCCGTCCCTCCAATGTGATATCCAATTTTTCTTTATTTAAATTGTTTGATATCATCATCACCTTACTCTTGATGAGAGTAAGACACATGTGCAACATCTGGGTATCTTTATTGTAGACGTTTCGCCATCCAATGGCTTTATCAATACAAATTCTAGGACATAACTTGAATCTCCACGACTATGGTGCTGTTCGCACCTACTCCTAGGTTGAGGGACTGATTACCTCATCTTCTGTACATAGTTCTACTGTCTTCAAGTTATGTCCTAGAATTTGTATTGATAAAGCCACTGGATGGCAAAACGTCTACAATAAAGATACCCAGATGTTGCACATGTGTCTTACTCTCATCTTGTCGGTATTATATACCATTCGTACATCACCTTACTCTTATATACAGTAAGGCCCCGCTTTATGACGTTTCGCCTTACAGCGATGTCAAATTATGGCCAAAATTTACTATACGGCAAGCGGTCTTTCAAATACGGCGCCCCCCACCCGGTTTGTTTACAGTTTCCGTGACCACATCTATTATGTCAGGAAACTTTCCAAAATTTCAAGTGTTTTAAAGTTACTGCATATTTTATATGTACTCTGATAATTATACTTATGTGTACCTGTACCAAAATATACTTACACACTGTGCTGGTGTGCAGGTACACATTAAAATTGCTAAGTCTCTCTCTACTTATGACGCCAATACTACGTAATAATAATCACTCTTGGGCACACTAAATGTCTTATTTTACATCAATATAGGCATTTTCATTAATCCATCTATGATATTTTCCTCAAAATTATATATAAAACCCATTACATAGCATATAAACATGATACATACACTCACAGAATAAAAATTGATGTAAATATAAGATTTGTTTACAAAGCAGCTGTGTAGGTAGTGTCGGAAGAATTACGTTTTCTCTAGTCGAACTGGGGGATAACTGTAGAAAAATATTCTTTTCGTATGCCTTTACTCTATATATAGCAATTCACGACCCTTGTGGGCTTAGTGCTTTTTATTATAATAATAATATTATTATTATAATTAATATTAATAATACAGTGGACCCCCGGTTAACGATATTTTTTCACTCCATAAGTATGTTCAGGTGCCAGTACTGACCGAATTTGTTCCCATAAGGAATATTGTGAAGTAGATTAGTCCATTTCAGACCCCCAAACATACACGTACAAACGCACTTACATAAATACACTTACATAATTGGTCGCATTCGGAGGTAATCGTTATGCGGGGGTCCACTGTAATAATATTATTATTATTATTAATACATTGTTATCTTCATTCACTCTAAAAATGGTGTGTTGCTGTTTGTTTATTCTGAACTAACTTGTACAACTTGTACACAATGTAAGAGTACAGTGGACCCCCGCTTAACGATCACCTCCCAATGCGACCAGTTATGTAAGTGCATTTGTACGTGTATGTTTGGGGGTCTGAAATGGACTAATCTACTTCACAATATTCCTTATGGGAACAAATTCGGTCAGTACTGGCACCTGAACACACTTCTGGAATGAAAAAATATCATTAACTGGGGGTCCACTGTATTTGTATTGTGAGGTAATTATTATTATTATAAAAAAATATTGAGGTAAATGTTTTACAAACTCTTACAAACATACGTGAATGAACTAAAAGTAGACACACATTAATACGCATTTATTTCGCCTGACCAAGTGATCGCCCACTACCTGTTCAGTTTGTGTTCTTACATTGTCTCAACTCTGTATCTTGTTCTCTCTCTCGTTTGCTCTTTCGTTAACTAGTTGGCTCTCATTGACGATGGCGTGTAAGCTTAGCTGTGATAAAAAGAGAAGTCGTAATACTTGCTTTAAGTGCCAAGTTAGAGGATGATGGTGTGCCATTCTGATTTTATTCAATAAACACCCTGCCACTCACCTCTCATACATTAATATTAATATTTTAAGGTAAGTAATAAGTGTACTCTGTGTGTATCTTACCTTTTATTGTGTTTTTAATGCCTATTTCTATTGCTAACTTATTATAAGTTAGTGTAAACTTGTTGTCTGGCATTTATTACATATTTTATGTGTGCTCTGATAATAATAATTGTGGAGCTGTGTGGTAGCCGGGCGGAGGGACAACATTATGTTTTCTCTGTTCAGCCATCAGAGAAAACGTGTATGAATCTGCGCTTGGCCCAGCCACTCCCTCACTCCACTTTGTTTACAATTTTCGGCATGAATTATTCAATACTTCTTCCTTCGTTTATGATGGCATCTAAAGGTAGTTGTTAGAAATGATTAAATTCAGTGAACGAGGTATGTCGATGTTAATAATATGGCTCTGGGCCATAGTGTAGGTAGCCGGTAGGTGTAGCCCAGGCGGGCTACACCTACCGGCTACCTACACCGACTTCCTACAAATAAATACTACTCACCTCTCTTCCTATATTAAGACTACACATTTTAAGGTAAATAATGAGTGTACTGTACAGTATGTGTATTTTACCTCTCTGGGATGTTTTAAATATCGTATATTAAGTATGAGACAGGGAGCCTGGGCTATCTGCACCTGGCTTCCTACAAATAAGTACTACTCACCTCTCTCCCTATATTAAGATTACAAATACTTTAAGATAAGTAATGAATTTACTGTGAATGTATTTTACTTTGTGTGTTTTTAATGCCTAGTTCCATTACTAACTTAATATAATTTCAGTGTAAACTTGTTGTCTGGCATCTATATGCATTTATAAATGGAGAAAAATGGCGTTCTGCCTTCCGGCGATGTCTGCTTTCCGGCGACAGCCTGGAACCTAACCCGCCGTATAAGTGGGGCCCTACTGTATATCAAATGAAAGAAAAAGAAATGTCACTAATAAAATATATTCGTTTGGATGATAGTCTTTCCTCATCATAATTAAATGTTTTAAGTTAGTTACCACATCATTCTCAACCAAACAATAAAAAATTTTAATTATATTTCTAATGTGGATATTTTGCTTCTTTTTTCTTTCAACAAACCGGCCATGTCCCACTGAGGCGAGATGACCTGAAAAGAAAAACAAAAGTTTCTCTTTTTAAATTTAGTAATATATATGTACAGGAGAAGGGGTTACTAGCCCTTTGCTCTCTGCATTTTAGTCGCCTCTGATGACATGCATGACTTATGGAAGAAGAATTCTGTTCCAGTTCCCCATGGAGATAAGAGGAAATAAACCAGAATAAGAACTAATAAGAAAATAGAAGAAAATAGAGGGGTGTGTTTATATATGCTTGTACATGTATGTGTAGTGTGACCTAAGTGTAAGTAGAAGTAGCAAGACATACCTGAAACCTTGCATGTTTATGAGACAGAAAAAAGGCACCATCAGTCCTACCATCATGTAAAACAATTACAGGTTTCTGTTTCACACCCCCTTGGCAGGACGGTAGTACCTCCCTGGGTGGTTGTTGTTTACCAGCCTACTACCTAAGGGGTATTTTGCTTGTTAGCTTATAATAACTTAGGTAGTAGGTTGGTAGACAGCAACTGCCCAGGGAGGTACTACTGTCTGGCCAAGTGAGTGTAAAATGGAAGCCTGTAATTGTTTGACATGATGGTAGGATTGCTGGTGTCTTTTCTGTCTCATAAATATGCAAGATGAAATTGTTCATTGATGTAAGATTATTCAATATGCAGTTTTATATTAATTTGTGAAAGATTGTTAATATTTGATCCATGTTAAAAAGAAATGTACTTTGAATATTTTTGTGATTGTCATGAGAGAGGAGGCACTGAAATGCTTTAACCCCAATTTTTTGCACAGATCATTTCCCCATCATGTCATATGCTGCACAGTTTTACATTAGGCCCTAAAAAGTATAATTTACTTTACTGAGAGCATATTACTAGTTTATACACTTATTACTCAATTTTTTTTTTTTTTTTTTTTTTTTATATAGGTTTGAAATATGATCACTCACAAGGATCATTTATTAATACACTGAATATAAAGGTTCAGATATATATAATGCAGCCTGCTTACTTTGGATATTAATCATCATCTATACTCATGCAGCTGTTGTCACCAGAATTTTTACCCCAACAACTGCGTTATGTGAATTTAGAGAAATCACTTTTGACAGATTCCAACCAGAATCAGCAGAATATTCTCCGGCAAGAGAAGTTCCTCAACTCTCTACTCAATAGATTAAATACTGAAGAAACTCAAGTCCTCGAGGAATTAGAGCAGGTTGGTAGGAATATTTTTTTTATATGCTGTGTGTACCATATACCTACTAGTTTGTAACTGAAAAACTGAGATGAAATTGTTCATTGATGTAAGATTATACAATATGCAGTTTTATATTAATTTGTGAAAGATTATATTAATATTTGATCCATGTTAAGTAGCATTGTACTTTGAATATTTTTGTTTTTGTTATGAGAGAGGAGGCACTGAAATGCTTTAACCCTAATGTTTTTGCACAGATCATTTCCCCATCATGTCATATGCTGCACAGTTTTACATTAGGCCCTAAAAAGTATAATTTACTTTACTGAGAGCATATTACTAGTTTATACATTTTGTGCAAGATTACTCACGTTTTTTATTTATTTATTTTTTTTAATTTTAGGTCCGAAATATGATAACTCACAAGGATCGTTTATTGATACACATGGCAACTGATGTGGAAAAGTTATCTACAATGATTGACCCATTAGCTCCTTGGCTGAATTTTATTTCTGATACGGAAACAATGAAAGAAAAATTGTAAGTACATGTAGTTTGTGTTAAGAATATTGCCCAAATTTGTAATGAATTTTGCTTGCAAAATTAGTTACTGACAAACATTAATTAAATATTTTTTTTTTTTCAAATCTGGTTTTGAAAGACAATACAGCAAAGGTCCAATAAGACAGAATAATAGGGGAAAGGGTTTGTCCAGTTTACCATAAATTCCATCATATTGAGCATTTCAATTAAACGGATGTAGTCTGAAAATTTAA